ACTAATATCCTCCTTCGCCAAATGTCGTAAGAACAGGCATCGATCGATATTATTGGTTTTCTTAATGTATTCATCAATGCGTGCATGCATTCATCATACTCTGATGTCATAAAACTCAATTGAAATTATTGAATGCACAGTTTAACACATGGTAGTCTACTGCTTCTTTTTTACTCTTTCACATCTGATTCATTGGCTATTCATCATCAAGTAATGAAGCAGATCATTTTCTTTTGAGGAGCATAATGGAGAATGCCCAGAAGAAACTTTATAAAAGATTTTTTGCTGATTAAATTTATTAGACCTGAAACTTGGGTTGTTTTCTTGAAGATTAGTTCATGGTCATCTGATTGTAGTCAACTATATAAAAATTGCAGGTAATTTCAAATTTTCCAGATGACAGACTGCTAAAACGTCTCCAGCTACATCTCAGTTACAGAGGAGACGACTGTGATCCCCAACGAGTATATGAATAATCATGAACTGATTTGACTAATTTGATCCTTGCATCTTCTCGCCAATTATTCTGTGGCGAATAAACAACCCACCTTCACTGAGAGATGTGAAATCAAAACGGAAAATGCTCTGCACTTTCACTGTATGAGCTATGTGCTCCTCTGGCCAATGGAAAAAATTTCAGCTGTGTTATCGCTGTCTATACTATGAATTTTGTGATTGCCAGAGACGGGGCTGGGAAGTGTTTGGTTTCTGTATCTTCGCTGATGTACCACGAAGTTCATCGCAAAGCTGGATATAAAGCTATGCAGAAAAGATAAACAAGTTACCAGTGACTACTTTTGCCCACCTGTTAAGAGATCACGTATGGTAATCATCTTGATTAAGCTAAAATTTTCTGTGAGCACACGCCAGTATCCTTACTGTAAAGTTTCATTTTGAGAGTACATCGAAGCTACATATATAATAAGGCATTTTATTGCCAACAACATGCAAAATGCAACACTCAGTTAGTCGCTTAAATTTAAATACCCGGCACCACACAGTGAAAGTAATATAGGAGATCATCAGCAATTTGCCAGCCGTCCTAGTTATTTCATCCAAAAACTGAGCTGCGGACCAGCTCACTACTTCTTGCTCAATCTGGAATGCCTTGGCGAGAACATCGTCAGAAATAGGAGGCTTTAGCTCGGAAAACTGCATTTAAGCTACCGATTAGCATAAGCAACATCCTTTGCTCTCTGTATGCTAAGTCCTGCAAATCGGCAAGAGGATTGCTATGTCTAACCTACATAGCAGCATAATCTGCAGGCTATTGTTAACGAGACCAACTACATTAGATGTATAAGAAGCCAAAATCTATGCACCACGTTTAGTACTCCTGATGACACCATTGCTTGCATGCGTATCTTAACTCTTAACATGCCCAAGATTAATTAATAAATCACCAAAGAAGTTTGTGTTTTCATGAATCATCTGACTATACGGTTTCTTTTTTAAGTTTTTAAATTTAGCTTTTTTTTTTCTAATAACTATTGCATTTTGTTTTAGTTGAACGGTTAGACAGCTGGCAAAACCTCCAAGGATCATGCTGTATTCGATTTTCGTTGTTTCAACTGCTGTATGGTGGCTACCTGGCGCCGATCACAAGAATCCTTCATTCTGCGGAAGATTCGTTTATTGCAAATGGCGGTTGTTTTATCATTCTGTCGGTTGCGTTTGCTTTGATGCTCTGAATATTTCTTCAGATCAACAAGAACAAATCCATGGACCCTCGCGCTGAACCCCTTGTTCCCTACTGCGAATAATCCGCTACTCTAGGCGAACAAAGGTCAGGACGTCCAAAACTGTCTTGTGAACGTGAAAGAAATTCCAGCAGTAACCCCACAGCAATGGCAACTTGACCAAAGTAAAAACAACCCCATATGCTGTAAATCTATAACACTTTCCAGCAGCCATGGGTTCTTGTTCGCCGTCCAGGTAGTCACCATAAAAGCTAGTTGAAAAAAACAAAAAAATGAATAACAGTATTACCCCTTAGGATTTTCCGTCTCAACCGCTTTCACCACTAAACAAAAACAATATTATAAAAAAAAACTAAAACTTAAAAAACTTTTTAAAAACAAACATATTTGGACGTGTTGGCCCCTCAGCCGTATGTACTGATTGCCGCGTCTTCATTTGCATTGTCCGCCGGCGCGTTATTCCACGTCAACGCCGGCGCGTCAGATCCCCGCCGGGGTTGGGGTTTCCTAACGCAGGGGGTTTTGACTGTTTCCCGGCCGGAATCGTTGGAAAACGCCCGTATCCCGACGGTTCTTCTCACTGCCACTAGGGCTGTCACCGCATCCCTTCAGTATCGAACCAAATTTTTTTTAAGGTTATATATATATATATATAAAAAAAGAGATTGAACAAGCTAATTAACCTTCTTGGGCTGGCCCCGCAGATGGGACGGCTCGAGTTGGTCTTTGTCCCACAGAAGGTTAGGTCAAAAAGAGACACGTGCCTCAAGCGAAGGAGTGCGTCTCACATCTTGAGATAATCCGGTTAATTGGAATAATAAGGAGGTCATGATTTATATCGTCCCAAATCCCATTCGCTAGTTCCTGAAGGTGCTTTTGGCAAAAACCTTCGAATTTAACCTGGTTACTTAGGAGAGGGAAAATGAACCAAAAGAAGCAAGATTAGTTTTTACCAAACGCAGGTTTATCTAGTCACCCTGGTTTAGAGAAGTAGTTTGCGAAACGTCTCATTTCCCAGGGGCTAAATTGCAAAAGGTTGCTCCAGTTCGGATAACGAACCAAACCCTCTCCCCTTTAATCAATCCTCCCTCCCTCCCACACTCCCCTCACGCTCACCCACCCTCGTTCTTCGCCAAAGTTTTCACATTCTCTCCTACTAGTATGTACCCCGTGCAAAGCACGGCAACTTATTTTTTCTAGCATTGTATTTTAAATTTGTGTATCTACTAGTATGTACCCCGTGCAAAGCACGGCAACTTATTTTTTCTAGCATTGTATTTTAAATTTGTGTATCTCTAAGTTTTAATACATTTGATTCTATTATTATATACTTAAAATTAAAAATCATAAATTATATGTTACCAAAAATATTGGCATCTGATGCTTATACATTCTTCCTCTAAAGAATATATGGTCAAACCTTTATTTTGCCTAGTCTAAGAATCTAATATTTAATATATTACTAAATCAGCAGAATATCCCTTTACAAAGTTTTGGCACTGTCAAAATTTTGCAGCCAATTATTATTCAAGAGGTCAATTTATTTTGTATCTTAAGGGAGGGTTGTTTTAGAAAAGTAAAGTAACTTAAATTGATCTTGCTATTATCTATTTTTTTCATCTTCCATTTTTCTTGTTGTTTCTACAAAAGAAACTAAGTCCTTATATTTACAAATTTTCTTTTAAGTTAAAATTCATATGCAATTTATTAATAGTTATTTGTGAACTTGTCCCTTTCGTTCATTGTTATTGTCCATAATTTTTAATATAATATTGTTTGTCAAAACAACCTAAGGTTAGGTTGTTTATATTTTTCTATAATGTATTATTCTAATTTGAATTAAAATATTGATGGCTACTGGTGTAGTCACATGAATACATTACACATAGATCTCTTTAAATGAGGATAGATCTGTAGTATGTGAAGTACACGGTCATCTGCATTCATGATTATTCAGGTTAATTTGAGGCTTGCGTCCAGGAATAAATAAAAGCAGTATCTGATGGTTGTTTATCTGTTGGTGGCCAAAAATTTTATTCTATTTGTCCTTTTTAGAAGGTTAAGGTAAAGAAATGGAAAAAAGGAAGCTTTTGACGTTGAAGTCAATAAATCTTTCAAGCAATTAATGGATTATCTAATTTAGTTGACATGTTTATTTGTTATCTAAATTTTAAATATCTTATAGTTTAGATGGAATATTATACATTAAAAAATTACATTACGTACATATAGAGGTGTGAATTTGCACATAATTTAATTAAAATAAAATAATTAAGGCGTAATAATAGAAAGGCACCCTGTATTATATTGATATAGGGATAGTCCATTGCAGTTCTATTCTTACGGATAGACGCCCTTACTATTTGTCAAATGTGGGTAGAGCTTGATTGAAACTTTTTATTATACTCAATTACTCTCAAGAGTTATATTTGATAAATGATTAATTAATTCCCATCAATTAATAATAATTCAAGTCAGAGAAAATAGGAATATAGTGTCATGTATATATCAGTGCCCCTCTTGAAATTTACTTTCTATAGTTGTTGAAATATACATCGTGTTGTAAATATGGATGATACATATTGTCTGCATCTTGACCGTTTATAAAGTATATATCATATTTATTTTATAGACAAAAGAATTTCATCTTGTGTATGTACTATTGGTGAAACTTGTAATCAAGAATGAAATTGTATCGCCATTGTCATTATAACATAAATTATTCAGTTTTAACACGTAAACTGAATATGCATAGTCTATATGCAATATATGTATAGATGACCTCAAAACATGATTAGGTGCATGCATGTAAAAATGACATACATTAAGTACCTTTTATGTTAGCGTGATTGATGTCCACCCACAAATGTTCAATGTCCCAACAACAATGTTGTAGAATAGAAATGTGTCAATTGTTAATATTCAAATACTAATGTTAATAAATTAGCCCAATTTTATCTTTTAGGTAAATATTGGTCATAGTCTATATGCCATTTTAAAAAGCTTTCATAAGAAATCGGTTGGTCAGTTAGATATTGCTTTTACTCTAAGTAAGATAACTGTAGCGTCTCAGTTCAAGTTCTGTCAGTAAGTGAATAATATTTTCTAACATCTAGTTATTGGATTCAATCTTTGTAACTGGCAGGTCTCAGTGCAAGTTTTTGTCAGTAAGTAGATCACACCCTTCTAAACTTCAGTTATTGGATTCAAAATTTTAAGTGTCAAATTTTTTTGCTCTGGATTACTGAAATAAAATATCAAAGGAAGCTATCACAACAGGTATAACCACCACAGGGATAATAACCACAATTTCACTTAAAATCTAATAACAGCAAATTCTATGATGGGAACATTTGCATGAGGAAAAAAAAGCATGGAAGATACAAATATTATGAATAAACAAAATAAGCAACCCAACATGCAAATTTAGACATTGCATCATTTATATTATCTACATTGTGCACACTTTCAGGTAGAAGGGCACATTAGTTTAGCATTCCATGTCATTTTGATCCAGCAAGGCAACAGAAAATATTGCCATGAGCCAAGACAACTCTAAGATTGTTGCCCAAAAACTTATATATAATTAATTCCTTCAAATTATTGCATCAGGTTTTTCTCACCCAAAAAAAATCAATGCATTAATATCTTTGACAACAAAGAAATGAAAAAAATGGAGATTAGTGCTTACCTTTTACTCTGTCAGCAGAAAGGGCATTAAACGTTGCCTGGACAAAGTTATGCAGGTAGTTGGGCTGCTTGAACACTACCACATGAAAAAAGGGAGGGAAAAAATCAATACTTACACAATTGTAGATCTACTGAAATAACAAAGACCTAATAGAAAGGTTGACAACTGCAACCAAACCCTCCCATTTTAAAAGCACGTCATGTAGAAATAAGAATTTTCTGTCCAAGTGATAGTGAGACACTCAGTTTATGTATGAATCCCAAAGCTATATGTGATAGTGAGACACTCAGTTTATGCATCTGACCACTCAAATTTTGAAAAAAATGCAGTTCCAAGTGATGTAAGATCATTATAAGGCAAGTATGCCTGCACAGCAACAGTGTTTCCAAGAATACTCCTTTCATCTGGTCCTGACTCTGCAAGAGATTAGTGGATATTGATAATTTAAACACAAGTAATGTACTTCAAAAAACAAAAAGTTTCAAATCATGCACCCGAAAGAATGTTGATATAAAAGATGTTGTACCATTATTTAATTTCAGAAGATATGAATCGCATGATTAAAGTTTGCTATAATGGAATATTAAATTTCTTTTTCCCTAATTTATCCTCCAAATCATCCACCAACTACATTTGTGAACATGGTCTTTTAAATTTTATTTCTTTGTTGTTTCTCTGTTTTTAAGATTTCCTTCTGGTCTGTAGCAGAAGAGCCGTGTCATCTATTAGTTCCATTCCGTGAATATCTACCATGGTACAAAGGCTCCACATGCATCAAGTGATAGACCTCTATTATAGTGGAAGTAGTATGCTGAAATTCTTTAGTTCGTTCAAGATTTAAATGCAGTCGCGCAGTCTTAGGTGCCAAAGAGATCACACATGTAATCTAATTAACTCAAGTTGATATTAACATTGAGTTACCAAGCTGAACAATAGGTCATGTTTGTCTATACTTATCACTTCCTTTTTTTGTGCACTATCATCTGTCCTACATATCTCCTTCTATTTTCTGCTTCTGGAAAAACCTTATTGTAATCTCTAAAATAAAAAAATCAAAATGAAATACGGAAATAATGCTCTTCTAGATATCCTTCTCAAGTAAATTTTACTATTTTTATGATGTAATGAAAATAAAGAACATAACCACATTAAAAGAATCTGTATAATTTTATCAATCACAAAAAATGATCTGATTGAATGTATAACTTACTTGGACAAAAAATTAGGACTACCATTAATGGGAACACAAACTAAAAGCATACCATGACAACAATAAATCTATCAGTTGCGGGCTCCGGTCCTATATGAACCCCTGCATAAAATAGTGAAATTTGATTAGTTACACAATTTCTATTAATATGCCCTCCCCCTCTCGCAAACCCATCCTTCAAAATAAGCAGGAAGTAATTTCAAGTAGATAGAAAATCCAACAAACCTAGGTAGCTAGATCTTAGAAAATGCTTTATAAATGTTGTCTTCCCTGTAGAATGACCCAAAAGCATAACCATGGGCTCAGCATCAAAATCACTATTTGTCTAAAAAAGGAGCGTTCAAAGCAAAATCAGTAACTTACTGTTATGCTTGTATTCACTTATAAAAAACCACCAACTACAACCCCCTAAAGCGCTTAACGGATGATTTTTAAAATGAAATAAAACTTATAAGGTGTTTGCCCATGATAAGAGGAATATATGTATTGCATAACTCACCAGCAAAGGAGAAGCAAAATCATTAAATTGATAGGTAATTTCCAATGTCTTTAATTTTTCAATATATAGTTTCTTCAAGCCATCAATAATCGAAGTGACAGAGCTTAGAGGAATCTGAACAGAAAAACAATAACAGGTAGTACAGGAGCATACAAAATATAGGCATAAAACAATATAAATTAATATAAAAAGAACTATTTTACTGAAAATCAATGAGCATGTAATAATCTGTTAGCAAAGAAATACAATAGTTAATCACATGAAGACTTGCTTCCGAGGATATTGGAGAAAGTAATCATAGTTTGATTGAGATTGACACTGCAATAGTTGATCACATGGGAAAAAAGCAATGTAAACGTAATAAGCTTGTCGGATCCGTATCAAATCATAAAGATTTATAAATGAACTGTAACCTGTGCATTTCTGTTGATAAACGTAATAAGCTTGTCGGATCCGTATCAAATCATATTAAAAGCATCATATGCAATTATAATCCTGTGCATTTCTGTTGATAAATTATAATCATATGCAATTATAATCATATGCAATTAGAAATGCAACTATTATATATAAAGCTAAACTAATTTCCAAGAGAACTACATCTTTTGCCTCTTTTTCTTGAATTAGATTACATTTGCATCTAAAGCCTACAAAGAAAGATGTCAAAAATAATTGTGATACACGAATACTTTAATGGTGTGTTTGGGAGTTTACTAAGGGAAGGGAAGGAAAGGTAAACAACGGGAAGGGAAGGGAAGGGAAGGGAAGAGAATTGTAATATGTTGTTTGGGAGTTGAGTAAGGTGAATGAAGGTGAAAGGAAGTAAATATATGTAAATTTACATAAATGACATTATACTAATAACACATCAGCCCTTTTATTTGTTTTGATGGGGGTAAGAATGTCATTACACCCCTTTACCTTTGATGGGGGTAAGAATGTCATTACACCCCTTTACCCTCCTTTACCCTCCTCTACCGCCCAAATCAGGGGGGGAAGAAAACCAAGCAATTTTACTCTCCTTTCCCCTTCCTTCCTCCTCTCTACCCTCCTTAAAAAACTCCCAAACAAGGTGAAAGCCTCATTTCTCTTCCCCTCCCCCTCTCTACCCTCCATCCAAACAGGGCATAAGGTAATAGCAAAATAGACCAATATCATAATGTATCATTTATGTTGATAAATTCCCAAGCTAATAAGAAAAGCAGACATTCATAGAAATAAGTAATTAGTTTATTGAGAAGCTCTTAAAAAAATCTGAAAAGCACTTGATGTGGAACCATTAAATTCTATCCATCATAAATTCATGTTTATTTAGCTCTTCAATTGCAGAAAAATCATGATGAGTAGCTACATTATTGAACCCATCCTTCATTGAAAAATGCTTCTTTTCCCATATATCATTAACAAATACGATCTCGATTCAACTAAACTTCATATTCTATTCTCAAAATAAAATTATGATTGTCCTGAATCAAGTTATGCGCAATTACATAATCATACCTAGCTGAGGGAAAACCGAAGCTCGTGTTAATCACACTCTCCTTTGAGTGCTCACCTGTTAATCATTTAATCCCAAAAAAAAAAGAAAAAGGAAAAAAGATAATTTCTATATTTGGGCTGAAATCGATGGATCCCAACCAAATTCTTTCTGTTTATAGGAACTGGAAAATGAAGGAAAAATTGAGGTCAACATGGGGAAAGTTGTTACCTTGATTTTTTGATAGAGGAGCCATAGCCGAGGACGCGCTCGAACTCTTCGAAGTCGACGAAGCCGTGGTGGTCGGCGTCGGCAGCGGAGATCATGGAGGTGATGACGTCGTCGGCGGCGATGAACGTGGATTTGAGGTCGCTGAGGATGATAGGGGAGATCTGGATGAATTCAAAGAAAGAGAGGGGTTTTTTTGGTTGGAATATAGAGATCAGATCGGCGATAGCATCCGACAACATAGTCGGATCCTTTCGCTTCTCCATTGATCTCGCCGCGTAGATCCCAATCTAAGACTCCGATGCCGGAGGTCTCGCCTGATCGTCCTCTGAATCCCTAATCGAGTCGGGTATTGCTGCTGACGACAATGACGATGATGATTTCTTGAGGCGTTTGAGCTTAGGTTTGGGGATCGGCGATTGTTGATCCTCGGGGATCGGAAGGCTCGATCATCTTCGATGATTTCTTGAGGCGTTTTTTTCGTCTCTGGTGAATGAGTATCGGGGTGAGAAGAGGAGGCGTTTTTTTGTCTCTGGTGAATGAGGATC